TGTGTGTGTGTGTGTGTGTCCAAAATCCCAAGAGGAAAGTGGAGGAGAAAGGACTGTGGTGTAGCCATCACCCCCCAGGGGGAGGGGGGTAGTTTCTCACTTTCCATCTCTCAGGCAAGCACATGCTCCCTATGGCAAAAACCTAAAAACCAAAACCAAAACCAAAACAAAACAAAGCAAAACAAACAAAAAAAAAACAATGGTATCTCCAGAAAGCCTTTATGGTGTGAGTGACCCACCAGGTTCATGCACTTCTACAGTTTTCTTTTATTCTTTTTAAGAGAGATTTTTGCTATGGGATGTGTGCGCTCACTGGAAAGACAGACAGAAAGTGAAAAATCACCCCCGGGTGTTGGCTATGCCACAGTCATCCCTTCTCCTCTCAGGATCTTGGGCACACACACGCACACGCCCGGCATGAGTTTGAAGACGCCAGGTCTGGGGCTCAAACCACGGTTAACTACGTGGGAATTCAACGATGTAATCATGCATCTGCTGGCCCCTCTTCGTTTCTTCGTGTTATAGTTACTCTGCGCAGTTTACATCTCCAAACTGTCCCTTCCTCAGATCATATCTCCCACTGTGCTCTTCATCTCCCTCCTTTAAACACTTATCTTCCAGGTTGTCATGACCACAGCTCTCCTTGGTTTTCAATAAGGATCTTGATTGCTCTTTAGCAGCCATAGCTAGGGAAAGCCCTGTGCAAATCATTCACCCTTGGCATTTCCAAGTCCTGGGAGGACTCAGCCTTCAATTGTGACTAAGCTGCCTTGGCCACTGTTCAGTTAAAAAAAACATTTGCTCAGGGGGCTGAAGAGTGGCATGGTAGCTAAGGGCACTGGACTCACACATGGCTGACCGTGGTTCGAGTCCCGGACCTGGCGACTTGCTTTCTTACTTTCCCTTTCTCTCTCTCTTGCTCTGTCCTTCTCTGGTCAAATTACAATAAATAAGTAAGTAAATAAGAAGGTAAAGTTAAATAAAATAATTCTTTGTTTATATTTAAATTTATTTATTTACATTCATTCACTATACATCATTACAACATACAAAATGAGATTTCCCATTCAGAATACAGTGTATATTGGCTCAGTAAAGCACATCAACATACATGTTATCATCAACAATTTTCCATTTCTTGTTTCCTGTACATTTTGCCTTTTTTTCTTTGCTTTTTTTTTTTTTGCCATCCTTGATTCCCTATCTCTTATAAAATAATTCTTAAAAAAATTAGTTTGGGGCCAGCGGGTGGCAAGGTAGGTAAGTTGCTGGATTCCCACATGGCTAACCGTGGTTTGAGTCCCAGACCTGACAGCTTGCTTTCTCACTTCTCAATCTCTCTCTGTGTGTGTGTGTGTGTGTGTGTGTGTGTGTCTGTGTCTCTGTGTGTGTGTGTGTGTGTGTGTGTGTGTGTCTGTGTCTGGTGAGCACACATTCCCTATAGCAAATTAATAATAACAATAAATAAAATTTAAAAATTTGCTCAAATTTCATTTATCTTATAAGAAAGATAGGCCCAGCCACAGATCTCTAAGAATCCTGTAGATTACCCACTTATAAGTTGACCCTGTCAGAACCAGCAGATGGCATAATGGTTATTTTGTTAGACTCCCACATAGTCAACTGCAGTTCAAGTCCCAGACCCAGTGGCTTAAAACTCAATGCTGGGCACATGTGTGCAAATACAATAGAATAGGCAAATAGAAGAGAAGGGATTATGGCATGGCCATTCCCCTGGAGGGTGACTTCTTGCTTTCTATTTCTGTCTCTCTCTGTCTCTGTCTCTCTCCATTGAGCATGCACACCCTATAGCAAAAGTCTCTCTTAAAAAAAAAAAAGTTGTCCATGTGGTTGATCATGACCTCTGTAAGCCTCCAGAGACAAATGGAAACATACAGCTTGTATGTTTGTTAGTCCCAAACCCAATGCCTCTTAATCTATAAACCTGGTTCAGACACTTGTCTGCCCCTTTGAGAAAAAGGCACTAATGCGGAAAGCAATAGTGCATTATAATGTATTGTTCATGTGTCTTTCCCTGAACTGTAACCAGTTTTAGGTCCAAGTTTGTGCATTCTACTTACTTTGTAATTCGCATAGAACCTAGTATAATGTCTATGTAGATGATCAATAAATATTCCCTGGTTTGATGAATTTAAAACTATTTAATTATTAACTTTAAAATCAGCTTCATTGGGAACCAGCAGTTAGCGTAATGGCTATGTCGCTGGACTCCCACATAGTCGACCGTGGTTCGTGTCCCGGACCCGGGGGCGTAAAACTCACGGTGGGCGCGTGTGCGTGCGTGCTGCATTATAATGTATTGTTCATGTGTCTTTCCCTGAACTGTAACCAGTTTTAGGTCCAAGTTTGTGCATTCTACTTACTTTGTAATTCGCATAGAACCTAGTATAATGTCTATGTAGATGATCAATAAATATTCCCTGGTTTGATGAATTTAAAACTATTTAATTATTAACTTTAAAATCAGCTTCATTGGGAACCAGCAGTTAGCGTAATGGCTATGTCGCTGGACTCCCACATAGTCGACCGTGGTTCGTGTCCCGGACCCGGTGGCTTAAAACTCACGCTGGGCGCGTGTGCGTGCGTGCCCAAGATCCCGAGAGGAGAATGGAGGAGAAGGGATTGTGACCATTCCCCCTGGGGGGTGATTTCTCGCTTTCTGTCTCTATGTCTCTGTCTGTCTGGCGAGCGCACGCGCCCTACAGTGAAAATCTCTCAAAAAAAAAATCAGCTTCATTGAACTATAATTCTCATACCATACAGTTCATTCATTGAAAGTGCATAGTTTTTACTATGTTCACACCATCACCCCAAAAAGAAGCCCTATATCCATGAGGAAGCATTCCCTACTACCTATCTCTCAAGATCTAATCCACTAATCTATTAGGTTGTGAGGCAAATCTTGACATGTTTTTCTATGCAAAACTGTGTCTTGACTTCCCCAAAGATCTAATGTAGATCTATGTAGATTTCCCCATTCTGGATGTTTAGATGAAGAAAATCAGACAATGTGTGTGGTCTTCAGTGACTTTCATTTAGCATAATATGCCTAGCATTTTCTAGGGCCATCCATCCTGTAGCATCTATCAGTATTTGACTCGTTTTTTATGGCCAGAAATATTCCATCATACGAATAGAACACATTTTATTGATCTATTCATCAACTGATGGGCATTTGAGTTAGCTAGGTGACCTTGAACATGTTATGTAACCTCTCTGGGCCTCAGTGTTTTCTTTAAAATGATGCTATTGGTAATTCACCTACATCATGGGGTTAAATGAGTTAATTTATGCAGGACCCCTAAAGCACATGGTAGAGGCTATAGATAGATTCATTAGCAATACTCTTTGGGCATCGGACACTCATTTAACTTCTGATTTATGCCATTGATTATATGATGGGTCAGTGCCTTTAACTTTTTTTCTGGAATAAATTGCAAAATAGTTTTTTTTGAGAGAGATTTTTGCTATAGGGTGTGTGCACTCAGTAGAGAAACAGAAAGAAAGCAAGAAATCACCCGCTGTGGAGGAGGGCACCCATGCCACAATCCTTTCTCCTCCATTCTCCTCTCAGGATTTTTAGGTACACATGCACACACACCCTGCGTGAGTTTTAAGTCAC